TTTTAAACAAAAAAAAATAGTTTATTTTGTGGTGAACAGAACAAAAAATTAGACTTTAATAGAAAATAAAAAAGACAATTTTTTATTGAAATATGGTTTATTATACTAAATTTGCGAATTACATCATTAGGCCATATACATGATTTCTCGTTTGTCAGTATATTTTTTTTTTTTTTTATTTTCGATATTATCCAACATCTTGGGATTTAATTTTACATTTATTTTCAATAATATATTTATATACTAAACAATTCGTTCCTGGCGCAAATTCTCTGTGCCAAAATACTATTTCTAAAATAGAATTTTTTTTGTTTGAAATTGAAAAAAAAAAACAAAAAATTTTTCCCCACGTAGTTAAAATTATTTCTAACTTTTTTTTTTATAAAACGAAATATACTTTATCGTGAAATTCAATACGAATGTATAAGTCTATTTATAAATTAAAAATTATAATTCAATTTATAAATGAATAAGTATAATTAAATTTATAAATTTTAATTTTTATAAATTATAAATTATAAATTAAATTTAAAAATACAATTAAAATAACTTCTTATTCAATTTATAAATTACAAATAAATTTATTACTTTTGTAAATTGATTTTCAATAAATGTAAGTTTTTGAGGTGAAATATATGAAAATATTGAAATAATAAAAATGAACTTAATTAAAAATATAATTTTGAAACATTTCGTGAATATAGTATTGGTATCGAATAAATAAATATATGTTTTTGACATTTACATCGATTTTGTTCAACTTTTGCATTTTTTATGAATTCTCATATTTTAAGGTATTTTTTTTTTTTAAATTGTAATGTACCTTTTTTTTGAACAAAGTATATAGATATTTTTTTAACATTTACTAAGTGAATAGGGGGTCTCTATACATTAAAATGACAGCTATTTTACAGCACATTTTTCGTCAACTGTTGCAGGTACAGTTCGTAATTCTAATAACATTATATTATTTTATTTATATATATATATATGCGCATTTTCAAAAAAAATTTTTTTGAGGCAAGAATTTTTTTTTATTTTCTCATCAATACGCATTTTATTGTACAATTTACATACATAATGAACTATATATATAATTTCGCCTTCTCTAATGTAATTATTTACACAATTATTTGAAAAAATGTCCAAATATTTAGTATAGTAAATTATAGAAATATAAATTAAAAATAATTAATATCTTATTTTGAAAGGAAAATTTTCTTTTTTTGAAAATAATTTCTTATTTTTAAAAAATATCGTATTTTAGTATTGGAATAATTTTAATTTTCAATTATGGGAAAAAATAATTAACAATAATATTGTGCGTGTAAATTGGGCATTTTTTCATTATTTCAAATTGAAAACACGCATTTAATATTATATTCACTAGAAGCTCATAACAGACATTCGATTTTGACAAACATTCTTATAATGATACGACTTTTTAATTTTTTTTTTTTTTAAATTATTTTTATTGGTTTATTCTATATTTTATTTCTTGATCAGTCGCTATCATCAAGGCAATTTTAAGGTTTAACATTGCCAAGGAAAAAATAATTTGTAATAAATATATTTATTTATATATATATATAATATATATAAGAATTATTTAATATATTTCCATAAAACATCATTTTTTTTTAAAATAAAAAAAAATGATTTCTTTACTATATTATTTACAAGAATTTCTATATAAAAACATTAACATTCTTTTTTTTCATAACTTCACTTTATTTATAATATTTCTTATTCGGTTAATATTTTAATATAGAAAAATTGGAGATTTTCAAAAAATATAGAAAATAAATAAATATATAGTTGTCAGATGTAATATTTTTGCTTTATGAGAGTATTATTTTCATTTTTAAATAATAAAATTAATTAATTAAAAATATTAAAAGAAGAATTCTTTAAAAAATTCAATTTTTGTTTTAAAGAATAAAAATTATTATTTTAATACGAATTTTTGAAGGCATAAATATTTTTACTTAACTGATAAAGTGAGATTGTAGGATATTATGGAGATTAAAAATAGATACTTTTAGAGAAAGAATGCTAATATGAAAGTGAATATAGCTTGTCTCAAGCATTATCCAAACTACGTTCAAAACTCGATCAAAAAACTGTTTAAAAGTCGTGCATATCATGGCAAAAAAAAAGGATAGCAAGAACGGGCAGATTCGGGAAGAAACTTTAAGTCGTTTCGTTGAGCTATATATATAATATATATATTGCTCAGAAAATCTTTTCTCTTTTTCTCTTTCATTCATCTTCACTTCATCCAACACGTGACCTTTTCTTTTCTTTCCTCACACTTAGTCTTTCACCTATATTGATGACAATAGTACTCTCAAAGCTAGCAAATTACTGACATCGACAAATGACTTGAAAAGGTGACAATTATTGGATTTCATTCTTTCTAATAAAAAAAAAGAAAATAAAAAATAACATTTTTTCTAATATATGGTTTTTAATTTTTTTTTCAACTCATCAATACTTTTTTGCTATATACATTTTTTTTTCAACTCTCAAATATTACTAATATCGATTTTCTTTCAAAAATATCAATTTTTTTTTGATATTTGAATTAACATTTATAACAATTTTTATAATTTGATAATTAAAAAGATTTTTGAATTTATATAATTGAATAATATTAAATATATTATTAATATATAATAGAAAAATTTGTTCCGGAATTTAAAATTTAAAGAAAGTTACTGATTTATTAAAATTTGGGAAAAGATTTATATATATAGAGAGAGAGGATTTTAATTGGAAAAGTTGATCTCAATTTATAGGAAGATTTATTCGGAAATAAAAAAAAATTTAGAATAGATAATACATTTTTAAGTGCATTAATAACAAGTTTTCATTTATTTTTACTGTTTATATTTTATTTATTATGAAATTATACAATTTTCCTTTTTTTTTTAGTTTTTACAATTTTAATAACCTAATACATTTTTTTTTTGCCTTTATTATACACCCTAAAAAAAGTAATTTTCAATCTAGAGGATTCCTCTAAAATAAATGCATATTTTCCTCTTAATTTTGGTATCAAAATTATTATTCTTCATTTAAGAGGATTTTCCTCTTAAATTAAATGTCGACATCCAAACCTCGTAAAATTGTTTTTAATGTCAAAGCCATCAATAAAATAATTATAATTTCAATCAAATAATAAAATCTTTGCAGAAAATACATTTTTAAATTAAAATTAAGTAAAATTATAATAGTTCATTTCAATATAATAATAAAAATTGTTTTTTAATATAACATTAACAATGTCATGTTTTTGGTTAATTATCAACATTTTATATTGATAATTAAAATACAAAAAATAAGTTTTCATTAATCAGTTGTAATGATCAACGTGATTTTCAGCGCAAAAATTATTTTAAAAACATGATGATATGTTTAAAAGTTAACATTTTTTATAGGACAGAAAAAAATTTCATATATGAAATTATTTAACGTTTTAAAACTGTTTTAAAAAAGTAAATAAAAAGATTTAAAAAATTCGAAAGATTCAAAAATGGGGTTATAGTATTTCTATTTACCTGAGTAGTAAAATTTCACAAGAAATATCCAAATTTTTTTAAATCTAAAAATAGCGTTAAAAATATTCATTTAATTTGAATTTAACTATATTTTCTGTATTTTTAATAAAGCAAATCCATTTTTTTGTCCTTTTTGTTGACATTTTACCAGAAATATTAAAACTGAAAGGTTAAAAAACAACTTCACAACTATCATACCCAGGGAAAGGGATCAAACGATTACATTATTTTTTCCGTTTCCTTTTTTTAAATCTTCTAAATTAAAAACGGAAAATCTTAATTAAAGAGGAAAATACAAAAGGAATCCTTTTTTCATTCTTCCATTAAAATGAAGAATAAAAATATTCTACATTTCAATTGAATAATCTTGTTTTAAGAGGAAATATTTAGAGGATATTAGAAGAGGAATTTTCCTCTAAGTATAAGATTACTTTTTTTTGGGTGTACAAAATGAAATTTTATTTGCATTTTTTAAAAATATGAATAAAACATTAATGCAACAAATCAATTGTATAATTTCAAAATATATTTATAATGAGTACAAACCTATATAAAAGGTACCATTTTTTGATATCGTATTTACTATATAAACATATTGATATTGAACACAATAAATGGTATACCAACAATTATTTCTAAATTAACTGGAAATATTTATTATATATATACATATGAACGTATTTATATTTTTATTTACATTATATTCTCGCAATTATTTTCAGATTATTTTCCATTAAATTTTCTCTTTTTTCATTTTGTATCAACGAAATTAATTTTAGGAGCAAAAAAAAAAAATCCATAAATCAATTTTTTTTATTTTATAAAATATAGTTTTGAAATCAATAAAACTTTGCCTAACTTCACTTCTGAGACGCACGTGTGCCAATTAAAACTTATGATTAGCATGGGAGCTTATTTGCAACATAACGAAAAGATGCCTCGAGGATACTATGCTGATTTGCAATTTCCTGACAACATTTGTTTCTCAGTATATTATATATAGGGAAAATGCGACATCATTAAATTTTTATTATTTTTTTTTGTCTCATTTAGTTTCTCTATGTACTTAATCTTCTTTGAAGATTAAAGTTTAATTTTCATATTCACGTTTTATCAGAGACGATTATATAAACTATATATATATATATATATGTACACACAGCATTCAATATTAATTGATATTAAAGAGCAGCTGTGGAGATTATAATATGCTGCACTTCCGTGTTATACAAGGCAAAAATTTATTTTTCACATATTTATATTATGTATATCTCCATTCAATTTTCTATCACTTTATTTTCAAATAAAAATTGTTCAAAAAAAAAAAAAAAATAAAGAAAATTTTTTCTATCTATAGAAAATAATGAAAAAAAAAGAAATAATAGACTATAATGTAAAAAAAAACTATTTCTATTCTTTATAATATATTTGGAAGCATTAAAAATGGAAAAAATTGTATCAATTTTTTTTTTTACAAACTGATATGTATCATTCATAAAAAAATTTTTTTTTTTCATTTCTTGCTGAAAAATTTCTTTAACAAAAGAAATTTTCCATTCATTTGGGAAAAATATTTTTTTTTAAAAAAAAGCCTTTTAAATATTTGATTTCTAATGAACCGCAAGAGAATGAAATTTAATATTTGAATTATCACTTGAGGGCGTACTTAACTTACATCGATGATTACATCTCTTCGCTTTATGAAGAACGCTTTTCAAATTGCAGTCTATGATTGTCTTTTGTCACGAAATGTATGTTCCTTCTTCTCAATTACATTTTGTCTGCGTCGTATTATTCTCCTCTGCATTGAACGAATAGAATTCATTTATTGCCTCAGGATCCATATTCATTGCTCTATTTTTATAAATTTTTTTTTTTTTAATTCAATATACTAACTGTTGTCGCAATAGGAGCATTGATATTAAAAGTAATAGTGAAGGGGTGAATAAATTGGCATGACCTTGAACTGTAACAGACAAAATTGATCACGAATGTGAATAATTGACAGTATATTTTCCATTATAATAATTATTATTATAGAAATATATTTTATTTTTAACTTTATATTATATATTAATTATAAATAATTAAGGAAATTTTTAGAATATTTTTTTACTAATAAATAATTTTAAAAAAACCGCGAGAAAAATTTGTCTGACTAAAACAGACTTTTACTACTTCTAAAAAAAGCAGGAGAAAAACCTGTCTGACTAAAATCAGTTTTTATTACTAAAATAATAATAGTATAAACTAGAAAAGAAATACTAAACGTTTTGTCTGACTAAAATTGTATTTTACTACTGATAAAAAAACATACAAAATTTGAAAATGCTCTGTCTGACTAAAATCAGTTTTTACTACTAAAATAATAAAACTATGGAAATACTTAACATTTTGTCTGACTAAAACTGTACTTTACTACTGATAAATAAAATTTCAGAAATAAAAAAAGCTCTGTCTGACTAAATCTGTATTTTTCTACTATTAACATAACTGTCACACAGTAAAAACAAAGTCTTAAACCGTTTACACCTTAAATTAAGCCCATATATTTTGCATAAGTCTGTCCTTTTTTAATTGGTCTGACTCCATTTACACCTTAAATTCAGCCTCAAAAATAGGCTGAAATCAAGATTTCTTTTTTAGTGTGCAGAAATAGAAAAAGCTCTGTCTGACTAAAACCGGATTGTACTACTGAAATACTAAAAACTAGTCTATACCTCATTAGCACTGCACTATAGTACTAATATTATAAAAAATCCTAAAAAGTTTTTGTCTGACTAAAATATACTTTTACTACTTCTAAAAAAAGCAGGAGAATAACCTGTCTGACTAAAATCAGTTTTTACTACTAAAATAATAAAAGTATAAACTAGAAAAGAAATACTAAACGTTTTGTCTGACTAAAACTGTACTTTACTACTGATAAAAAAAATTTCATAAATAGAAAAAGCTCTGTCTGACTAAATCTGTATTTTACTACTATTAACATAACTGTCAGAAATAGAAAAAGCTCTGCCTGACTCAAACCGGCTTGTACTACTGAAATACTAAAAATTAGTCAATACCTCTTTAGCACTGCACTATATTACTAATATTATAAAAAATCCTAAAAAGTTTTTGTCTGACTAAAATAGACTTTTACTACTGATAACAAAATCATACAGAATTTGAAAATGCTCTGTCTGACTAAATCTGTATTTTACTACTTATGACAAAATTTCCAAAAATATGAAAAGCTCCGCCTGACTAAAATTACCTTATACTACTACAAATTTTATTAAAAAACATTATATTCAAGATTTCTAAAATAAGCCTTACACTAAGGGGGCCATTCATTAATTACGTAAGGGTTCTTAGGGGGAGGGGGGGTTTATAAAATCTGTACATGGTCTTACGTCGAGTGGTGGGGGGGTATAAGCTATTCTTACGTAAGATTTTGCCAAGTATTTTCCATTTGTATTGTTTGTAATTAATTTTTTTATTACATTAATATTGTTAAAAACTTACGAAAGAAGAGGGAGGGGGAAGGGGTTCGAAAAATCTTATGTATTCTTACATGGGCATAGGGGGAGGGTCAAAATTAGCCAAAATCGTCCTTACGTAATTAATGAATGGTCGCAAAGTACTAAAATTAGTCAAAACTTTCAATGTCTGACTAAATCAAATTTCTACTACTTCGAATAAACAAAGATTTCGAAAAAATATCTGTCTGACTAAAATTAGCTCCTAGTACTAAAATAATAAAATTATGCAAATATTCAATGTTCGGTCTGACTAAAACTGTATTTTACTACTAATAGCAAAAATTTCAGAAATGTGAACATGAATGTCTGACTGCAACCGGTTTGTACTACTGAAATACTAAAATACCTTTTTTTATCTAAAACAGAACTAAAACTGAAATAAAAAAAGCAAAAAAAAAAAAATCAAAGCACAATAACTGAAAGCAATTAATTTTGCTTCCTCGTGGAGGAAGCTTTGTAGTCCTTTCGTTTATAAAACTTTTCAAAGTGGCGGAAACAAATTTTTTTCTTTATAGAAACATGTTATATGAGATCCTGATCAATTGTCCGGATGTATGTATGTGTGTGTGTGTATGTGTGTGTGTGTGTGGATCCCTTTTTTGTTTAGAAGATAACTTTAACAGGTTTTAATGGATTTAGATAAAATTTCGTAGGCTCATTTATCATATTAATATCTCAAATCTGACCAAAGGATTTTGAAAAATACTCCAAAAATAAAAATTTTATGGTCTTTTTTCCAAAAATTTTTAAATAGAAAAATTTAATGTTATATATAATACAATCGTATTCTTTACGTCAAGACGAATCGATCGACATATATAAAGTATTCATTTGAGGTAAATTTAAAGAATTAATGAAAGTTAAAAAATCAAAAATTCACATTTTGTCAATAAAATTTTCCTTTCTCCACGAGGAAGCAAATTTTTTTGCTGATCGTAAAGAGGAAGCAAAATGTTCATGTAATGAACATCTGAATTTACAACTTTTTGGTAAGTTTTTTATGCTTTTGGATGCGTTTTTGGTGGTAAAAAGGGTCTTCCTCTACTCGGATCTGGGTGTCAATTTTTTTCTACACTTTTCGGTGTATTTTGTGCAAGAAAATGCAATAAAATCGTCTGCCTAAGAAAAATTGATTTTTTTTGGTAAGTTTTTTTATGCTTTTGGATGCGTTTTTGGTGGTAAAAATGGTCTTCCTCTACTCGGATCTGGGAAGGCACATTTATCATATTAATATCTCAAATCTGACAAAAGGATTTTTAAAAATACCTCAAAAAAAAATTTTTATCGTCTTTTTTCCAAAAATTTTTTTTGGCGGTAGTCCCGAACGATTATCTCGCGAATTTAATTTTTTGAAAATTTTTCCAAAATATTTTTGAGTGTAGCTCATCATCCACTAGACCAATCAAAAAGTGCGCCATACATTTTTTGTTCGAAACTTTTTCCCTATTTTATTGGTGGTATTCCCGAACGATTATCTCGCGAATTTAATTTTTCGAAAATTTTTCCGAATTTGTTTTCTAGTTTAGCTCAGCATCCGCTGGACCAATCAAAAAGTGCGCCATACATTTTTTGTTCAAAACATTCTTCTAATCCCGAAAGATTATCTAGCGAATTTAATTTTTTGAAATTTTTCCAAATTATTTTTGAGTGTAGCTCAGCATCCGCTGGACCAATCAAAAAGTGACCCATACATTTTTTATTCAGAACTTTCTTCTAACTACTTTGGGGATATTCCGGAGCGATTATATCGCAAATTTAATTTTTTAAAATTTTTTAAAAAATTTATCTGAGTGTAGCTCAGCATCCGCTGGACCAATCAAAAAGTGCGCCATACATTTTTTGTTCGAGACTCCCGGGTTAAGACTTTTGCGGTATTCCCGACAAATTATCTCGCAAATTTAATTTTTTAAAATTTTTTAAAAAATTTATCTGATTGTAGCACCGCATCCGCTGGACCAATCAAAAAGTGCGCCATACATTTTTTGTTCGAGATTCCCGGGTTAGGACTTTGGCGGTATTCCCGATCAATTATCTCCCAAATTTAATTTTTCGAAATTTTTTAAAAAATTTATCTGAGTGTAGCTCAGCATCCGCTGGACCAATCAAAAAGTGCGCCATACATTTTTTGTTCGAGACTCCCGGGTTAAGACTTTGGCGGTATTCCCGATCAATTATCTCCCAAATTTTATTTTTCGAAATTTTTTAAAAAATTTATCTGAGTGTAGCTCAGCATCCGCTGGACCAATCAAAAAGTGCGCCATACATTTTTTGTTCGAGACTCCCGGGTTAAGACTTTGGCGGTATTCCCGATCAATTATCTCCCAAATTTAATTTTTCGAAATTTTTTAAAAAATTTATCTGAGTGTAGCTCAGCATCCGCTGGACCAATCAAAAAGTGACCCATACATTTTTTATTCAGAACTTTCTTCTAACTACTTTGGGGATATTCCGGAGCGATTATCTCGAAAATTTAATTTTTCAAAATTTTTTAAAAAATTTATCTGAGTGTAGCTCAGCATCCGCTGGACCAATCAAAAAGTGCGCCATACATTTTTTGTTCGAGACTCCCGGGTTAAGACTTTGGCGGTATTCCCGATCAATTATCTCCCAAATTTTATTTTTCGAAATTTTTTAAAAAATTTATCTGAGTGTAGCTCAGCATCCGCTGGACCAATCAAAAAGTGCGCCATACATTTTTTGTTCGAGACTCCCGGGTTAAGACTTTGGCGGTATTCCCGATCAATTATCTCCCAAATTTAATTTTTCGAAATTTTTTAAAAAATTTATCTGAGTGTAGCTCAGCATCCGCTGGACCAATCAAAAAGTGACCCATACATTTTTTATTCAGAACTTTCTTCTAACTACTTTGGGGATATTCCGGAGCGATTATCTCGAAAATTTAATTTTTCAAAATTTTTTAAAAAATTTATCTGAGTGTAGCTCAGCATCCGCTGGACCAATCAAAAAGTGCGCCATACATTTTTTGTTCGAGACTCCCGGGTTAAGACTCTTGCGGTATTCCCGATCAATTATCTCCCAAATTTAATTTTTCGAAATTTTTTAAAAAATTTATCTGAGTGTAGCTCAGCATCCGCTGGACCAATCAAAAATTGCGCCATACATTTTTTGTTTGAGACTCCCGGGTTAAGACTTTGGCCGTGTTCCCGATCAATTATCTCCTAAATTTAATTTTTCGAAATTTTTTAAAAAATTTATCTGAGTGTAGCTCAGCATCCGCAGGACCAATCAAAAAGTGCACCATACATTTTTTGTTCGAGACTCCCGGGTTAAGACTTTTGCGGTATTCCCGACAAATTATCTCGCAAATTTAATTTTTTAAAATTTTTTAAAAAATTTATCTGATTGTAGCTCCGCATCCGCTGGACCAATCAAAAAGTGCGCCATACATTTTTTGTTCGAGACTCCCGGGTTAAGACTT